ATCACAGTGTTGTTAATATAGCTCCTTCATAATTTTCTTAAAAATCTCTCAGAATTGCAAACAGTTTTTGCCTCCCACTAAGAAATTGTTAATTTTAAAGGAAAGTAATTATGCGAATTTCAATAGTGCACGGATATTGAGTATTTTTAAATGGAAAGAAGTTGCACGATTTTAAAAACACTGTAATCGTGCTGGTTCCTTTTTGCTAAATGCAATCCAAATCAAAAGGGAAGTCGCAACGCTGAATAGCAGCGCGGGCAAGGGGAACGGGGAGGAAGGGTGGGGGGATGGGGCCCCCCTTTACGACGACGGGTGACGGGACGGGTCCTCATTGAGTCATTTTTGACGCAAATCATGGGTCAATGTGTACAATTATTCCTCGTTCCTCGCCTTGGCACCGTCTCTTCTTTCCCCACCCGTCGCCTCCAAGTTCTCACGCTCCGAGCGTAGCAAATGTGCTAACTGTGCGACTCCTATGACGAAGCTCTTGTTGTCAATTTGCCCGCGCCATAATTAATTTAAAGATGACGGTTTTTGAGGTAAATATCCATGTTGGTGAATCGATTTGAATCGGACGAAAAATCCATAGGATTCGAGATCGCCGGCGAAAATGGGGTTATCCTTGAATCGGTTTCTTCGATTCTTGGAATGAAAATTATGAGAAATTGCTAAAATCGTGTCATTGTCGTCATCTTTTTTTAAAATTTGGACAAAAATTTGATACAATTCCTTTAAATCTAATCGTTTCTCGATTGTAGATGGAAAATTCGATTCAGATTTTGAATTCGCCCTAGATAATTGATTCAGTTTTTTAGGTAAGAAATCGATTGCTCTAAAGAATAGAGCTTTAGTCATTCTGACGTGAATTTTGTCGGTTTTTTAACTGCTCTTGCTCCGTCCTTTTTTTTGGACCGATCTCACGGGGTAAAAAACGTAATGTAGCTTTCTCTTGCTGCTATAGGATTTCCAGTTTTTCGAAAAGAACCATAATGATACTGGCTTTCTTCAAACAAACTTATAAGTTCAGAAAAAGCTCTCCAAGCAGACGTGATAAAGATTTTTTGAGCTCAGGAGTTCGATTCAGAAGAAATTAAGGGCTTCGTGCTGCTCGCAAAATTTTACAATTGAAAAAGTTGTCATATCGCAAATTCCTTCGGCATGCAAGAGCTTCGTCACATCATTCTCGAGGATACAACTATTCGTGCTCATGTGTAGATTTCTTGCCTATTCGATGAAATTGAAGGCGAATCATTAATGCAGAATTACAAGAAACTCAAAACAGACAATATCCAGCACTGTAATAGGTTCACTCATGATCTATTGGTTTTTTCAATCAGAGCTTGACGCAAGAGACATGTTATTCGAAGAGATTCGTTATTCGCACTACCCTGTAGGTAATTTGCCTATCCGACAAAATTGAAGGCGAACTTAAGAATGACCAACTGACCGGACCCATATTGCCCGCAGTACAAAGAATATGTTTTACACTATTTTACCTTAAAAGTAGGGGGGGGGGGGGTGTCCAGAAGGAAATCGAGGAAGAGTGATAAAAATGCGAAACTTCGCAATGGACAACAAATGAGTCCAGGTTGGAGGACATCGGTTCATTTAACATGTTAATAATCGGGATCTGGAGTGCGGGAGTGCATGCGATCAGGATTGGCAGATGATGAGGCTGCAAGTCTGCCGTGCTGAGGGAAAACGTCGTATGAGCCTTCAGCCGTCGCCAAGTTTCCTTCGATAAAAGCCGAATTAACTGGGAAAATTATGAATATTATTTTCCAAAATTTTCAGACAATTTTGTGCGCATTTTAATCTAATATATCTGAAAATTTTAAGGCAAAATATGCAGACATGTTGTTAAAAATACACGTTTCATCAAGGGAAAGGCTCCTCTCGAATGTTCTTACAGCGTTCTTGCTTAGTGGGGCAGAATAGTGGGCGAATGGGGAATATTGCGAGTATTTGCGAGAAGGAGCGAAACGGCGCGTGTCTATATATAATAAGCGCGAAATTCGGTTGACCTTGTCGCTTTCATTCATTCTATTCTCTTCTTCCTCGACCGAGTGCGCGCTCCGCTCCCGCCAACGAATCGACTTCCGAAACTTATTACTTTATCCCGTCATACGAGAAACTCCCAGTCCAGCGGGCCGATTATTGAAATTGATAGACGAAGCGATAGACAAAGGAGACAAAAGAGATATGGAGAGATCCTATTGGTGGAAGCGGATGGTTGCAATGGACAAAGGAGGTAGGTAATAGACTAACTAACGGCAACCCACGAGAGACCCGACAGTTAGTCTATCATTTTCTCCCTTTGTCTATAGGAGCCACTCATTTCAACCAATAGGATCGCTCCGTACTCCCTATGTCTTCTTTGTCTATAGCTTTGTCCATAAATTTCAATAATCAGTCCGCAGACCAGCAACGCTGCCGTGCTAAGGAAAAACACCGTAAGATCATTCAGGTGTTGTCGTATCTCCTTCCATAAGAAACGAATTCATTGGGAAAAGTTTGACGATTTTTCCTCCAATTTTTCAGATAATTTTGTTCGGAATTCAATCTAAAATACCAAGTAGAAAACTCAACGAAAAATATGCAAAACTCTCTTCATAAATACATGTTTTATTCGGGGAACTTTGGCAACTCTCAAAGGTTCATACGGCGTTCTCCCGTAGCACGGCAGTACCAGTCTCCCACACTGTCAGATTATATTCTTGATATGTTTCCTCCTTAATCTTCTGGGGTACTCACAATTTAAACATTCAGAGGAACGAAAGCTGCCGGCTGATTATTGAATTTGTTAGACGACGCAATAGGCAAAGGAAACGCAGGGAGAATGAAGCGATCCCATCGGATAAAACGGGTTATCATAGACTGCGCAAGAAAATTATGGAGTAAGGTATCTTGTCGGTTGCCGTTAGTCAGTATTACTTACCTCTTTTGTCCATTGCAAGCACCCACTTCCAACCACACACTTCATTTTCCCGTTGTCATCTTTGTCTATCAATTTCAATGACCAGTTTGCTGTTTTTGAAAGTAAACCTAAAGATCGCTCAGAACTTGAAACGTACTTAATGCGAGCCTCGGAATCGGACAGCATTACGCAAAAAAGAACTATCATTTCTAGCTCATCTTGAAAACAACGTAAGTGGCATTTGGTGCCTCTATGTTGATGGATGTTTCTTGGCTGAACTAGGAATGTTAGTTCCTTTTTGTGTAATGTAGTCCAATTGAACGTATTTATGATAATTAGAACCATTTGAAAATGTATCATTTCCAAAGGAACTATGAGCATACATTCGCGCGCTACATAGTTATTATTTTCTATTTTATTCATTCGTACATAGTTATTTTTATCATAAATTCTTCCAATTGATGGATCGAAGTGCGAGCTTTCGCTTCATGCTGAAGAAACATTTTACTTTCTACCCTTTTCGAAAATTGAAACATTGCCGAGTGACTTAGGGAAATATCTTGCAAATGAGGTCTGGACAACACGTACACAAAAAAGAATGTCGTTTCATCAGCCCAAAATGGAGCGAAAGGCCATGCGGCGCGGCGCAGTTAGATCACGAGTGTTGAGTGCGCCCAAAACGCCTTCGTGATACCGAATCTGCAACTCCTCGACAGTCGCGTCTCATTAGTTGATCGCTCAAAGTTTGAAGGCGCTAATTTAAAAGCGCTTCGATACGGAGTCAACCCAGCAAAATGATGGAAGCGCTTACTTTCCCTGATGCATTTATCGTGTCACTTCTGCTCGTTATCCACTATGAATAATTGTATGTAGAGTTGTCAGTTTTTAATTGCATGAGCGATTCTATTATTGTGTTAGGATTAAGGCATAACAATTGCAATCGCGGTTTCTTTCGTATTGTTTCTTTCTTTCTCCTCTATCATCCAGCAAAAGTTTGTTCTCATTCGTATTTTTAAAGCTGCAAAATCTGGAAGACTCTTTTCAATTGCGTAGGGGTGAAGGACTATTGTTTCTACCAATTTTTTCTGAAGTTCAAGGAGTGCGTTTGAGTTTTCCTCCTCTGAAAGTTTTTAAAAGGTTTCAAAATCTACTGAGGCTCCCGTAAATTTTCCAGCAACATCTGGCACTCTTACGAGTTTTTCTTACAATTCCTCCGTGACCATGTTTTCTGTTTCACACGTCTCCATTTCGCAGCCTGAATTTACTCACCCTTGAGGCAGTGTTGGTTTTTTTCCACCTGTGGTCAATTAAGGGACTTGGAGGACATGGCGCATAAGTGCAGTTTTTGCTATTCTGAGAAATACATGTTCGAAGTTTTGAAATTACATGGATCTTTTTGGCGGTAGAAAGTTCAAAATTACTTTTTGATGCTTAAAAATTGGACTTCGGGAGCAAATTTTTCCCAGAATATGCGTAAAGACCAGTTTGACTTGGAATTCAGGGTCGCCACAGTCAGGGAAAACCGAGAAATGTGAGGGAATTTTAAAAAGTCAGGGAAAACCGGGAAATGTCAGAGAAAATGACGAAAACGTCAGGGAAAATTTGTCAAATCACCTTAATTTGCTTTCTACAATGGGTTTGAGGCTTCGAACAAGAAATTTTGCCTGAAAACTATTTTCAATTATGCCTTCTTAACTATCCGTCACATCTTCAATTGTCAGGGAATTTCACCAAAATGTGTCAGGGAAATCAAGGAAATGTCAGGGAATTTCATTTTCGAAATTCTGTGGCAACCCTGCGACCGAAAATCCACCCCCGGCTTCTCGTCCACCCAAGACCCCATTCGACATGGCACTATTTCTTCATTAATCGACACAATTTGGCAATGTCGCCATAAGTGACTTTTGAGCGTTTCGTCTGGGCGCGCGCGGCGCGGCGGGCAGCCGACCCGACAGGTGCTGCCCCTTGCGTGAGGATGCGTAAGCGCGAAAGTTGCGCAAGTTTGACAACGACGCCGGCGCCGGAGGGGATGATATATCCGAGATTCCGATTGGAGGGGATACAGAGTGAGGCTGAAAGTAAAGCGTCCTGTCAGCTGACTGCGCTGCGCTGCGTCGCGACGCCGTGCCTCAAGTTCGAGCGTCGAGACGCTACGACGCGGAGGTCTGTCTTCCGCGACCGCGGCTCCCGTTTCAGTGCATTTCAGCCTCGGTTTCAGCCACGATTTCACCCGATTTTCTCCACTCCTTTCCCCACGGCCCATCCGCAACCGGCTTTCCTTTATTTTTGTGCGGGTCGTTTTTCGTTTCGTAAAGGACTTTTTTTTTCATTTATTTTGTGGTTCTCTTTTTGTTGTGTCGTATTTTTTTTTTACGAATTTCGGTAAGATTTTATTGTGTTAAATACCGACCGGTGTCGGTCGTAACGTGGTTGTCGTATTGTGTTGTGTCGAGACGTATCTTATGGATCTCCTGGATACCCAAGTGTTTTTCGACTGATAACGTGATTATTTTCACAGCCAGAGCTCAGGATGTTAATGCTTAGGTTCATACTGATCTCCCGTTAAATAGACTTTGGCTCCGTCCCATATAATACGGTAAGGTCCTGATTTCCTGTGATACTGCTTGCCTCAGACATACATAACCTATCTCCTGTTATCTTATCAGTTCCTAGTCTTGAATGCCAAGGTCCGAGAAGTAGTGTCTCTCCGACCGATCCCTTTCAATTTTCTCATGCAACTTAGTTTCTCCTCATCGTAGTTTCGCAAAATCTCGGAGCTTAAGTAGCCTTTTCATCCTCCAACTCATGTTTTGTCTTCAATGATTCTCAGGGTCATACATGGGAAAGCTATGCTCTTATCAGCATCTTATCTGAGTCACATGTAACTCGAAGAAAATAATTTAAGTTTGTATTATTCATACCTTCTCCACGTGCCTTTCCACCCGAGCAATTCTGTTTTTTTTCTACACAGACCCACCCTGAAAGTACCCACATATGCTCTTTCGCACAGGCCCACCCTAAAAGTGCGAAACACTAACTGGGTGCCAATTTTCAACATTGATTTACACCTAACATTCTTTTGACTAGAGCCCAACCATATGGATAATTTTGAAATACTCTAGAAAGGTGACGTTAGAATGGCGAATTTTTTTCTTTAAGTAGACCAGAGTATGTCAATCTTCAAACACTTAGTTATACAGGGTTTCCTAGGGTTAAACGGCAACACTGCAGGGAGATCCGAGGGTCTTTGATTACCAGAGCAAAAAACTCCGAATTTTTGGCAATTTTTAACTGAAGATATTAATACTTTTTGACAATTTTTAACTTAAGATATTGATAATTTTTTACTATCTTTTAACTTAAGATATTGATATTTTTGAGGCCAAGGGCAATTTCAGCGCTTTCAGTTATAGGCGTGAGCCAAATTTTACGAGTTTTTGTCTGTAACCGTTGCCAAAACTCAGAAAAATAACGATGTTATTCCCGAGAAATGGAAGGGGGGGGGGGATGTAACTCCCTCAGGAGGCATTTTTGGCTAAAACTTCACATGAAAAAATGTCTTATTTTTACCCACAGAACACGCTCCCGCAGACTGGGATACCCTGTATTCATAGTTGGAATCTCATACATACTTCTGCTATCTGAAATGCGTGCAAGCACTAGATGAAGTTTGTAACAGAGTATCTTTAAATGATTCCTGTCCCTTAAATTTTGGAACTTAGGGGTCTTTTTTTAACCGTGGGTTTCAACTTAAAGGCAAGCAGATTATTTTTTTTTTTTTGGCCTTAGCAGGCGTCAGGCAGGTCACATGAAAGTAATAAGAGATCTAGGGCCTCGGAAAACGAAATGATTAGATAGATTTAGTGAAAGGACCTTGTAGAAAAAGTACAGTGGGGGAGATTGAAATGAAGTTATGAAGAAAGTCCGAATTTTTATCAACATGGTAGGATTAATTTTCTCTCTCCCTAGGTCCTCAGTTCTCGTTCTCTTTTTGTAGGTATTCAGACTCAAGGAAGAGTTTGAAACTGAGGAGGTAATTATCTGTTATTATTGCCAACCAATAATTAATATTAATTGCCGGTTGGAGGCAATGAATTTAATTAGGCAGTCAATGAAAGCGCACTAACGCCATTGTTTTCGAGTGGCAAAAATTGGTGAAATAATTATGACAATTACCTCAGAGTCTTAAATATACACAGTAGGCTATACATTTCGAGTCACGGCAATATGGACATAACTATTCTAACACATAGTAAAATGCAAACTTAAAGCGATAGCAAGAAAAATCACTCATGAATTGCCGTATACTTGCGAAACCTCACCTTTTCGAGGAAGGGGCGTGAAAGTCAGTTTGCGAAATTTTTATCAAAGAAGTAATAAGAAAATTTTTATGATTTCTCCAAGCAGTCTGTCATTCACAACACCGCATTTGTTTTTGGTACGCATCTTGCTTTTGTCCTCTGAATTTAAATTTATTTTATAGCTCTCATTATTTCTAATCAAGGCCCATGGCTCTGTCAGTTGAAGCATTTTGTACGAAAAGAGCATTTATGCCCTGTAACGCTGCTTGGATTGTGCAACAAAAAATGTATTTTACCTGTTAATTTTCACTCGTCAATCTGAAATAATTTCTGAGAAAATTCGGAGGATAATGGAGGAAAGAAAATACTTTTGAGTAGTCTTTGGAATTGACACAGAATTGCAACTAATTGTAAGTCGCACAATCTTAGCAGCTGTGCATGATAGTGACAGAGTAACACCGTTATTGCACAAAACGCTTCAATTATCAGCAATTCGCATATTGAACAGATAGCTAGTATTGAAATAAAAAAATTATATAGGTACCAATATTTTTAAAACACGATTTAAAAAAATTACGTGATTAATTTTAGCTGAAGACATCAATGTCTTGTCACTCAGCGAACCATTGACTATCTAAGCATTGCTTTATCTGACTTTCATAACTTTTAAGAAAAGATGTTCAATTTGACGAGAGAAAGAAAAAAAATAAAAAAAAAAATTCCCTTCGCTAATTCTATTGTTCTCCCCCGCAGTTGAATAGGCAGACAGATTACATGGCACCTAGTTGGTTATTGTCTCGGGCTTCTTTGCTCTCCATGCTTTTGACTTATTCGGCCGTGCTGAAGGATAAGCCGTATGAGCATTCGAAAGTTGCTAAATTTCCTTTCTGAAAGATTTATTTTTTAGGATGGTCTTCAATTTTTTTCCTTAAAATTTTCAGGCAGTTTAGATCAAATCACGAATAAAATTTTCTAAATAATTGCATGAAAGTTCTCCATGAATTTTCCTGGAAATTTGCGATTTGTCTGAGAAGATTTGGCAACGTCTCAAGGCTCATACGGTATTTTCCCTTACTGCCGTATTCTGCCGTGCTAAGGAAGAACGCCGTATGAGCCTTCAGGCGTTGCCAAGTCTCCTTTGATAAGAACCAAATTCACCAGGAAAATTGTTAACATTTTTTTTCCAAAATTCTCAGACAATACCGTACGCATTTAATCTGAAATATCTGAGAAATTCCAGGAAAAATATGCATGCATTTTGTCAAAAATACATGTTTTATCAAGGGAAAAGCAACTCTCGAATGTTCATACGGCGTTCTTCTTTAGCACGGCAGTATTCTCAACTTTGCATCATGATCAAGTTGACGTAAGACTAGGTATCCCTCGCAATTCCCATTGTTACATTTAGATTGATCCTTTTTCTATTTTGAAATAGAATTTGCATTTGCATCATCCAGTTTCTCCACAATATTTCACTATTTTCCCGTTTAGATGTGAGTAGTCCCTCCTTGTGTTCCAATGAATCATCGCAACTTTGAAGCATTGCTCCTGAGCTCATGCGCTATTCGCTTTCATGTTCAGCTTTCGGTGGAGTGTAAACTGCATTCAAGAACCCCACTGTGCTAATCATCGGTGCATACATTGCGGAATTGTGTTATTTTCTCGGTTTCGAGTTAACGGAGGAAGGACTTTCATTTAGTACTTTTCGTTGTCGAATATTTTTTCGAACACTTTTTTGCTTTTTAAATCTTAAGTTGGAGAGACACGTTTGTTTTTTACACAATTCAACTTTGTGTTCATTTTTTTTCTTGAAATAATCCAACGATGACATGAACAATGATGGGGGAGGTGACGCACTGAGAAAGGCCGCTAATTTGGGCTCGGTTGACTTAGACCTGTCCGAGGTTGACGATGTCAGTGCTATCTACGACTACTTTAACAGTGTTCTGAAAGAGAAGCCCAAATCTCTTGACATCGGGTCCGTCTCATTCGATGAAACGACCCCTGATTCGAGCACCGCGACTGCGCTACACGGAAAAGGCAGCGTTTCTGATTGTTTTTACCACATTCACAAGCATGGATCCCAGCTGGGGGTCCGGCTCTTGCTGCCCGCACTCAACAGAGGTTCGTTTTTTTTCCTCATTTTATTTTCTTTTTTGTTGTTCTGTCCGATCAGTTCTTCACCCTTTGTAGGATGTAAAGTTCTGGCACCGCTTGTTGGCTCCTCAAGGGTTGCTTTAGGCGGTTTAAGTTTGTTGAGTGTGCAATCGTGGACCCTGTGGATGCTGATCGGATTTCATTTTGCAAGTGGGATTTATTATATCTGGGCTCAGTTTAGGGGCAACCTATGCACCCTACAACTCCCTGTGCACATACGCAGGGTGTCTACAAGTCCGGAAAGTCCGCAAATAGTACTGATTTTTAAGGGCGCTTCGGAAATACTGTAAAAGTGCGTCTATTCCGCAAGAGTGTCCGGAATTTTTTTTAATTTCTCATCATTTTTGTCGCAATTTGAGCAAGAAATGCAAATTTTTGAAATTTTTTCAATTTCGTAAAGAGGATGCACTGAAAAAGTTCTGCATTTTTCCTGTTGTGGAGGTACTGAAAATCTTGGGAATGTACTGAAATATTACTGTAAAAGTACTGGTTTTTGGCCAGCCGGTTTTAGTAGACACCCTGAATGATACGTGTTTTTACAGCTGAACAAGACATTGTAGTTCCATATTGAAAAATATAGTCCAACGGGTCGGTTGCGCTGGTCTCGGAATGATTTTTTGATGCTCGATTTTGTAGATCAGCTAAAAATAATCAGATCTGTCCAAACAGCAACTTTTTTACGTTGAATATTAACTGAGATATCGTGCTTTAAAAAAAAAAAAAAATCTGTTTATGACGCCATCCGCCGCGGTAGTGACATGAGATCCTTGGTTTTTTCCACCTATTTTCATCCAAATCTCATGTTGAGTAACCAATGCAAATATTCGTCTCTCTGAATGATGAAACTAAGGTGGAAGAAACCAAGGGTGTCTCTACCGCAGTGGATGACATCATGAACCGAATTTTTCACAGCACGATACCTCGGTTAATATTCAACGTAAAAAGTTGCTGTTCGGACAGATCTTATTATTTTTAGCTAACCCACAAGAATCAAGCGTCAAAACACGATTCTGTGACCAGCGAAAGTGACCCATTAGAAACTATAATATCGGGCTCAGTTTAGAAACAACGCATGCACTAACAAATTCCCTGTGCTTACACGTGTTTTTACGTATGAGCAAGGCATTGTAGTCCCAAATTGCAAAATATAGTCCAATTGGCTTTGTTAACGGGGCTAATCGCCTCATCTCCACTTTCCTATCTTTAATGGTTGTAGAATTGGAATAATATTTTCTGCAATCCGGTGTCCTAATTTTTGTTTGTTTATTTATTCCATGTAATTAATAACCTTCACTGGAAAAAAAAGAATCTTAAATTTGCCGCCAAGAAGTATTTCTTCTTAAATCGAGAATTTTGCTGGTTAATATAAGCTACTTTTTTGCTTAATCCGAGCATTATTTTTCTTGAATCAAGAAAAAGTCAGCTTAAAGCAAGATAAAGAAAATTCTTGGCGGCAAATTCAAGAATTATCACGCTTGATCCAAGCTACTTTTTTTTCGGTGTTCCTTTAAATTTACATCAGTCTTGGGAAAACAAATTAAAATAATTTGTCTCCTTGGGAATCGGTAGTTCACTGTCAGTTTTGAATGCACCGAATCTGTAAATTTGAAGTGAATCTTCTAAAGAATATGGAGATAAAAATAAACGGAAGTCTTCGGAAAGGTGCTTGGCGAAACGCCTATTTGGGTGTGATAATTGCGTTTTAATTTCTTGCCTTGTCAATCGTTCTGTTATTTCCTCTACTACAGAGGTGCATGAATGTTGTATGCATAGTAGTTTTTGATTGCTAATAGATTTCTCCGGTCATACATTACTGCCTACTTGTTTCTCATCGCTTCATGCATTATTTAACCACAATCTTGCTCCCAGTAATGCCAAAGAGGTGTTTAAAATAGTTACCCACTAATAAATAGAGGGAGATGCGATGTTTTCAAAGAATTTTTACACGCATGTTCAATTGTTTCATGGTTCATCTTTAAATCCCTGTCTCTCACCCACGAAAATTGGAATTTTTCGAAATTTTATGAATACGAAGGCTTTTAAAAATTTTCTGGGATTACCAAAAGTGAATTGGAGGAAATTTCACGCCTCAGTGCTGATTTTTTTTTCACTAAGTATTCGCGGAAATTTCAAAGTGCTGGAATTTAGATGCGTGGTTTCAATTTTATAGCATTGTATTTTTAAAGCACTTGATACATATAGCGTATTGCTTATGAGAAAATTGGAACTTGCATCTGGATGGTTTCATGATAACTGGAATAGTTTTGTCGCCGTAACAGACAACACGTTTTTCGGTCATATTTTTAGCAGAAATGAAAATTTAGTCGAATTTGTTCGCATTACGCGGGAAAAACGAGTTTAGGCCTGCATGGTACCTGCGCAGAAGGTCCCAGCCCTAACTGGGTAGGTAAAATTGCTTTACCTCACCCACAGGGGCAGGCCCGGCGCGGGTAGAGCCCAAACCTACCTGCTTCAGGGTTCAGCCCTGTCTGGACCCTGTCCAGGTAGGGCTGGGCCCTACCCGCGCAGGGCTTGTCCCTATGGGGTATGAGGTGAAGCGATTCTGAGGCCCAGCCCTAATCTCGTTTTTTCAGTGTAATCTTCAAAGGGTTACGTATTATAACGATTTCTAATGATTTATCGCTCTACTTCTCAATTATTATGTAAATTCCGAAATTGTGCTGTCTGTAAAGCGGTAAAGAATCAGCGTAACAGACAGCGCATTTTCGGCCATTCATATATTAAAATTGAAAAGTAGAGCGATAAATCGTTGAAATTAGTTATAACACGTAACCCTGTGTAGATTCATGCAAAAAAATTCGAGTGATTATCATTACTACTAAAAATAATACCGAAAAATGTGTTGTCTGTTACGGCGACAAAACTAGTTATCGTGAAACCACCCATTGATATTCGGCAAATGTGTACAATTTCAATTTCGAGGTTGCCTTGTGGAAGATTCGCGCACGCCGTCTTGGAAAATGTCTTACGTTGGATATTTAGCGGTGCGCACGGTGCGCCGTAAGTATAGCTCAAAATTAGTCGATAAGAGCTTGCGTGGATCCCAAAAAGTATGTTCAAGAAAGTTATCAATGACGTAAAGTGAATTACAAAAGGAGAGGGGGTGGGAGAGGTCTGGTTATTTTTAATTCTTTCCTTTCGTCTCCCTCTTTGTGGTTTGTAATAAAACGTTAACTCGGGCTCAAGTTTTTTCTGCCCCTAAACATCCGGTCTTTCGTCATGTCAGGATTTTCTTCGCGAGAGGGGGAGATATAGTCTTGTGTGTTTTTGTGTGTTGTTAAGATTTAACTCTCTAAAAAAAGTTATACATTTCAAATTCCAATGAACGAAGTAATCAAATTTTACGAAACGTGCGTGTTGCACTAGTAAGTAACAGATCAACTTTTGATGGTTGAAATCGACGAAATACCAAAAAATGCATGATAAGATCCGCCCCAATTCTAATTATTTCAATGTCTAAAGGGATATCGACTTTGGATAAACACGAAGATTGACCGTTTGGAAGAAGTTGACAGATATCGGGAACAGTTCGGATCATTTATAAAGTTGTGAAGTTGGGGTTTTCCATGGAGGAATGGAGGATGACTTTGTAAATGCCCGGAGGCTACCCCGCTACCCCTTCTTTGTAAAGTAATACTGTTTATGGAGTGCTTACTCGTGCGACGACGAAGGTCCTAGCGGTGCGAAAGACTCAAATTACAGGGCGTGCGATTGGAGAGTACACGAGCGCCAAAACTATAAAATCTGTTGACAAGTAGATGGAACCGCGATGAAGACGAATGATGAATCTGTAGTCGGTAGCGTGTCCGCGGGAACCTTGAAAGCTGTGCTCTGGGCGGTTCTCCGTCCGCTCAACTTGGGAAAACTTCCATCACTCAACGATGAAAGCTCACTTTGGCCATCCACCCATGTTTCCAAGTTCCTCCAGCCGATTTTCCGTCCTTGTAGGACCTTTAATGTTCCTTGAAGGCTTGTTTTTGGGTTGGTTAGGGTAGAGTTATTTTATGTCGTGGTAGAGGGAATTTTTCTAGCGTTTTAGCCCACCCGGTATCGTAAGGATCAAGGAAACCGGGAAGGGTGTCCATACTGCCGTGTTAAGGAAAAACGTCGTATGAACCTTCAGGCGTTGCCAAATTTCCCTTCATGAAACGCGAATTTTCTGGTAAACTCACGAATATTTTTCCTTCAACTTTTCAGACAATTTTGCTCGTAATCCCATCGAAAAGTCCTGAAAATTTCAAGGGAAAATATCCATAACTCTCCTCCAAATTAAACATTTTATCGAAGTAAATCTGGCAACTCTCGAATGTTCATCCGGCGTTCTTCTTTAGCACGGCAGTATAGGTCTCTAGAAAATCTGGAAAACGGGGAATGCAGCTCTTGCATGCGTCAGGAATTTGCGATTTCAAGCACTGATTCCTGTGTAAAATTTCGCGAGAAACACGATGGTGCCATCAGTTTTCTCTAAAATCAATTGCAAAGCTCTAAAAAAGCTCTCAAAGTTGAGGCTGAATTGGAGAGGATATCCCACGCTACCCTTAGAGTCCACCTCTATATCAAGACAAACTCACCGTGCAAAGATAGGGCAAATACATTTACAGGGTTGCCATTTTTGTCAGGGAAATGAGGGAAATGTAAAGGAATATTTTTTTTTAAAAATGGCTAGACACTCTGGGAGAAATAGGAATGGCACCCTCTCAACTCAGTTTTCTTGGCAATTATGAATATAAGCTTTCAAACTTGAAATACAAATGAAACAAGTATCGATTATCCGGTTGATCCGGAACTGGAAAAGCTAGACAAAAGCTAGATTCCTTTATCAGGGACGGAAATCGTCAGTTCCTCCGGGTTTGGTTCGTGTCAGGAGATCTCGAGGATGATAAATGCATTCGTGGCGCGTCGCGTCGGCGAGAGATAAGGCTCACAAGGAGAGGAATAATAAATCA